AAAACTCCTGTAAATAAATTTTGTACATTCGCTATATGGACAAGACCTTTTTGTGTTGACGTTGGTTAAAATAAAGTTGATGCAACTATCTTAATGTGACAGATGTTGCTTACCTCAACCTTCGGTGCAATCATCTTGCATGGACCACACCAAGTCGCAGTGAAGAACACTACAACAAGCTTGTCCTTGTTCAGTTCCACAAAGTAATGAAATGCTTCCTGCAGTTTTCATTTGATGTCATTAAAAAGAATGTCGTTAAAACGTGCCTTCAATACAATAAGGTAGGATAAATACAATTCGTTTTGTGTTTACCGAAGGAAACATATTGTATTTTTTCTTCCTCTTCTTCTCCAAACACTGATCTCTGACCTGGTCAATGACCTGAAACAGACCGTCTCTCATCATAGTAACAGGTGTTGGGTTACATAATGTTGCAATTTTATAGTAGGGGGGATTTAGACTGCTGACACCATATATGTGAATATGTTTGAGTAAGAATTAACAGAGAAGAATACATGTGAAGGTAAACATTATGCATTTGCTTTGCAAATGTTACCTTTCTAGCTCAAATTTTTAAATATCATACCATGTGTGGCATAAGCCTGAATTTTATTCAGGAGGGGAAGACTGAAGACTGCCTTATGAGGTGACTTATGTTGTTGTCAGAGGAAACAAAACTTCCGAGGTGTTAAAAGTTGCCATCATACTGTTGCATTATGTATATCCTAGTTTAAACTTAAAGTAGACTAACTACAGTAAATAAACAAACCCTCGCTATTTAACTGACGATAATTTATAAATGTGCAATAAACTTACGTTGGATTTACATGTATTTTCAATCGACTAAGCTCTGAATTTTGTCGGGATGTCAAAAGTGACGTCATATCAAATGTTCTTAGTTTGATACATGTAGATAACTAGAATACATTCGCTATATGATGTTAACTTTTACAAATGATAAATGTCTCTCATTTATTATGCAAATTAGGTCCTCATTTGCACAATTGATACCATTTCATGACATTCTGTAACCAAATAACAAGAGCTCTACAATAAATCTTATCTTACAAACAAGCCTATTCTAGCATTTCCTTACTACTTATGCAACTTATTATATAAGTTACTTAGCCTATAAAATCTTATCATTTTGCGGTGTCATCCAGGCCTATTCATGATCGCATATCAAATATCATGTAAGGAGAGTCAGACAGTGGATCATACATCTGACGAAGGTTTGGTTGACGAGATCGACCGAAAATTTATAGTTTCTTTTTTTGTGTGTTGGAACTAAGCTCAAATTCTATAACTATGGATTCTACCGACACAGATGAGAACTAGATACATGCATCATTATACAAACGGTTATAATGTAAGTTAAAGAGACCGTTCGACATTTTTCTGTGACGGGCTACCTCGAGGGCACATTCCAGACCTGTGAGACTTAAAGGTCATGTCATGTATATGACGTCACACACAACAAAGCTGCCGTACCGTGCAGCTTCAGAGAACCGTTCACGTGAAACGTAACAAAACAAAGGGGCGGACATGGGATCTATATTTTTGTTTTCCGCATACGAATCGTTATGCCTCACCTAACCACAGCTTACTCTTTGCACTGTATTCATCAATGGTTCTGGTTAACCTACCAGTGTAACACAATACTCGGTGTATAAGGTAAAACGTTCAGGTGTAATGCAGAAGACAACAGTTACGTCACTCTGGAACTGGATGGATTTTGAAAACTGTCAGCTATCATGGTGGTTACAAACTGGTGTTACAGGTTCGCTGAATGCCCAGATGACGAAGAATGGAACTCTTACCTTGCTTTCAATCATTTGCACTGACTCGGCACTGCACACGGAGAAAGACAACTGCACTGTGAGACACGTAAGGCCAAAGTACACCCAGCGTGAACACATCTTGAAAGGATATAGTAAAAAGTGTAGCCTATTTTGTTGGGCGCCTGGTTGGCAACTTCATAGGAGAACACTTCACGGGTCAAAGACCACAAAAAGGACTAGTCCATTCCAAACAGGTGTCCCTGGGCCATAATATTAATAACGTTGAACCAAGGACTCTGGAGACCCCCAAATTATTGCGCGAGGGCGAATAAAAAAATTCAACCAAAAAATGATGCTAAACCACAGAAATACAATGCTGGGATTGTGGCACTTGGCTATACTCTTACCACAAGCTGGCACATGCTTGCATTTATAATTTTGAGTCGGCACTGTACTGAGTTCTTGAGTTCAGTGGAGCTTCGGCAGCCTGGGTGCCATCCTCCGTAGTCCGGCTCCCAATTGTCGCTAGCTCCAATGGACTACGGACCACTATGCCACCCAGGCCAGAGCCTCGCAAGAGATCTTCCAGAAATTAAATCAGTGTGGCCTAACCAAAAATAGCCATGATGGTGACCATTTGCATAATTAATGAGGAAATGCTAGTAAGAATAACCTTATTTCTTAAGATAACCCTGGCATTGGGTGGAGAATATGATCAACTGATATAATATATGCAAAGGAACTCTTATAATTTGCATATTCGCAGTAAAAAAATGTATAGTCAGTTTGGAAGGTTAACATGATTTGGCAAATTAAAGGTATGTCGGAGGTCGTGCTTACGTATAACCAACGATATCATACTTTGTCCATGCCAAATGATAAGGATTTCACCAGTGTGTTGAACGTTACTAGGTAGAGGCTATGTGAATAATTTGTATACAAATTTTGCTAATGAGCAGGATTGTATTTGTAAGCCATTTACAGGTGGTCATCACCATGCATAAGATTTACGAAAGCACTAAACAGGTCATGGAGGTATGACATCGCCGAACTCTAGTTCGGTATATATGTAGTATCAGGTGGTATCAGAGTAGTCAACAGCTTACAGTCTGGTTTCAGCCCGGAATCAGTGGACGGATTCTTAAAATCCGTAATCGTACTTTCACAATCTGCCGAGGATGTGTGATTGGATGTGACGAAAGGGGGAGTAAACCTATGGGATTTCGCTGAGGTTTGTGTTATTTTATTTGTTCTGGAGTTCATAAATGGATTTACAATCTTTTTACCTTATAGTAGTAATTACATAACAATGCGTGAAACTTATAAAACAGTCCTGGTAAGTAGGAGGACTAACCAACAACATAACGTAATCTGACACCTTCCTTATTACCACAGATCCCACCAGCGCACACTCACGTCATTATACCAAATTGTGCTAATGGCCTCGGGCCAACTCCTGCGTCATTTAGGCACACATGTAACGCTCAACGTGACGAAAATGAATACGATCAGACACGCAGCGATGACAAATATCAGTGTGATGTTACAAGAAGGGACAAGAAAACACCGTGGACAGGCCGACAGTTTTTGGTCATCAGCAAAAACGCCTGCGTCATTCAGGGACACATTTAATCCTCAGAGGTAAGAAAACAAACACAATGTGACTCGTATTGATGACAAACATCATTAAAGAGACAACTGGTTAGCCGTGTATGACGACACACTCAGGGTTTCTGTTAGCGAAAACGATGAGACGATTTGGGCAATCTTTCACTTTATACACAAAGTCACAATAAGATGTGCACAGTTGAAGTCATGTCTACTTGTTTTTATTTTAATTTCTTTATTACAGCACAATACAAGGTGGAGCAATTAATGATCCCGTGCAAGACACGTTACAAACCATATTCTATGCAACACTAAATGATATAGTAGACTGCAGTTATTGTTACTTGTCACCCTTAGTCCCACATCACATCTGTACCCGTGTTGGTATTACTAGACCACTGCTATAGACCCACTGATGAACTTGGATATGTAATAAAGCATACAGATCACATTGAACCCCTATCGATACCGGCTTGTCGTCTGTAACTTACACTCTAAACGTAAAACACCCAAATTCTACAAAATGTTGCCAAGGAGCATCTCGAGCAATTCCGTTTTCAAGACTTGTGAGGAGTGACGGGTTGCTTTTCTACATGTTCCATAATCTGCCATTAAGTAAGCCGTCGTTATTGAAGTTGTATTCATAGTTTAATGTTATGCCTAGACAAACATACGTATATGTGGCGTGTACGACTTCAGTCTCGAAAACTCTTTTTTTATTCATTTATTTTGCTTAGATTTCCGCTGAAGTGATCCACAAAAACAGTTAATGGAAAACTGAAGTGCTTAATGTACCAGGGCTGTCTCCAGGACGCGCCACTGCCGGGTCGCTTGCGGGGAATTGACAAATATTTCACTCGATTTACTAAAAAAAGTGCTTCAGCAAATGCGTGAAGTAACGTTTAAGAAGTTTAAGAATTCAGCTGTGTTCGATTGAAATTTTTATGTTCTTCCCAGTGGTTGACTTTAAAGACAAGAATCGGCGAGATTTTCCTAGGCCTTAGCGAAATTTGCCCCCCGCAGTTAATTGACTGGACTGATGACAAGAAAGTACAGAAGGAGGATCACGGGAATGAAGATTAAGCCGACACCGATGGAGATCTTCCACAGGCGGCCGGCGTTCCTGGAGGCCTTCTCAGCGCCTTCCACGTCACCTGCCTCCCATCTCGAATTCACCTGATCAGGGCCGGAAGAGAGAAAAATTGTCGTTTAACTTATTATTGCTTGCGACGCGATTCGCATGATGTTGACGATATCAACTGCAGACGCATATATACATTCACCTTGAACATAGCTTTTTAAAAAACCCACCATTTCCTTCTAGAATTAATACGTCTGTAACCTAAAACGACCCTGCAGTTCCAATGACAGCTGCTATAGAACAAAATTCATTTCACTTCTTTTCGAGAACAAGAGCTATATCGTATATATGTACTACCCCAAACCCGCGGCCATACTATGTCCGGAACAGAAGTTCCGCTGCACTTGCAATGATCAAGCTGAAGCACCATGCCAAATTCTATAACGATCCTTCTATACATTTTCGAGTTATCCTGGTCAACCATAAAAAAACACCGTTACAATCTCATTGGAGAAGGAAATAACCTCCCATACTGACCTGCGTGGAATAATACCAGGCGAACATGCTGACTGGACAGCAGCAGCAAAGGAGAGTGAAGCTGATCATGCCCCTGTGGTCATTCGGCTTTTCGCGCTGGGTAATCGCCAATGGCTGCATTGGGGCGCCAACCTGAGTGGAAAAAACACAACACATTTTACTTGCTAGCCCCACACAGGGTTTGGGTTGGGTTGGAAAGTTCATGATATGATAAAAATAGGGAAATACTTCTAAGGCGTTTGATATACGCAACATATGGTTGGGTTAAAATAAAAAATATTCTTGTTAATTTCCTGAGCCTAAAATAGTGAACCTCTGAGGGACTAGCCTGGGTACCATCCTACTTGTATACCGGGGCTCCCACACTCGCTTCCTTCTTAGGGAAGCGAGTGTGGGAGCCCCGGTATACAAGTAGGATGGTACCCAGGCTACTGAGGGACTTGTTCTAGCTGGTAAATTCTTAGAATTAAGAATAAATTCTACTACACGTTCTATAGATTGCATAGACGTTTTAGGTAGGGCCATATAAAATAAGAATTGAACAACGCTTTTTCATTATAACCCACAGGTACATCTTAGACTTGAGACTAAATTACATGTAAATAGATTAATCTTTGATTTAAGTTGCCGATGCAAAGACATGTGAGGAGGTTGCAGGTATAACGGGGACCATGGCTAAAACGTTGCAAGGGATTGATTTAAGAGAAAAAAACTCACAACAACGGTTGGCTGTTGCTGCATTCCTGGATATCCATGTGCCTGCTGCTGCAGTCCTGGATGTGCCTGTTGCTGCATTCCTGGATGTGCCTGCTGCTGCATTCCTGGATGTGCCTGCTGCTGCATTTCTGGATGTGTCTTCTGTAGTCTACAACCCATATTATTGTATGATTTAGTGATAATAAATACAACATCCAGTAAAGTAGTAGTGATTGGTTTATTGAAAAGAGCAAAGAACATATCAGGCTTGCAGTAAAAATTGAATTGTGCTGATATTTACAACTTATAGGATAATACAATACTAGTAGATATAAAAGGGCAACTTACACTTGTAATATACTAAATTTATAAAAGCCATCGTCGTCGTCATATTATTATAGCAATATAATTAAAACAATATAATTTCTCACGAGTATAAATCACTACTGTCATTCTACATTAAAATGACTGAAAGTCTTTGAAGTTTTAAAAGTTAGTCTGGTACGAGCGCTAAGGATATGTACAGTTGGCGGTAAGATTCAGTTAAAATTCAGTTTCAAGCATTGAGCAAAAAGCAAAAAAACATTGAGTTGTTGTCGGACATATCGAGCTACTCCAAATACACAATCATAATTTCATTGACATAACAAAGTTACATTTTAGCATACCTTTATTTGCTGATCGTTTGACGATTTTATTTTTCAGGGATCCTTTGGCCAACTGCTCGCGATGAGTCGTAGTCGGTTGGTTGATTCTTCTACCTGGTCCTGTGCGGGAAAAGAACTGACGGTGCACTTGGTGGCCGGTGGTAAATCTTACTGCAGCGTCTGATTGTTGTTCTGCAATCGCCCCTATGGGGAATGTATGGTCAGGTTGGCCCTTTTATATTCTTCTTGGAGATATTTTTAACCGATGGATGAGATCATGTTGTATAATTGCGATATAATTAGAGCCTAAAGTTGTGACGCTTTGCCCAACCCCTCTCACCGCGCCCGGTCAATGAACCTTATGACGTAATTACCTTAGAACCTGAACTTTGGATTCACACTTCGAACTTTAAAGGAGCTTATACAAAAGTTGACGCTTTTATGTCTTTTGTTCAAACTGCCAATTTGATATTGACGCTATGTAGCTGGCGAATGTGAACATTGATCCGGCTAGACTGTACGGTATCCGTCTGATAGGTCGGTATCACACACTTCATTAAACCCATGGAAGACAGGTAGACCTTTCCGCCTGAAGCTATCCACACACTTGTTTACTGGGTGGTTCTTACGGTATGACTCATGACGGTCGACCGATCCAAATCTTGCCCGGTTATTGTCGGTCAGTGTGTAGGGTACGCCTCAGGCCGTGGACGTTTCCATAGCCTTGCCCAATGCTGGGTGGCTCGAAAACGTTCAAGCTTGCCCGGTTATGGTCGGTCAATGCCTGACATGTACACGTACATGTACTCCAGTAGATCATTGCTTAGATAGTAACCATATGCTATATAACTCGTTATATGGGCAAAAATATAATCACAATCATATCATTTGTCTTGGGAGCAGCCTTCGCGGCATTCTGCGTTCGAAGTTTCTATATTTCTGTGTTTTACAGTCAAGACAGTACAGACTCAGGTCTGAAGACCCAGGTCTGAAGACTCAAGTATGAAGAACGTTGGACTTTGAACTTACAGCTGCAATCTTATTCGTTATAGAAAATGTAGTCGTCTCTGTCAGCTGTACTTTCTTTCCGTGATTAGCAGCCGCTTGAGTTACATGTTGAGCAATACATGAAAAATGAGGAATCAACTGGAAGTTTCCACGGTTTATAATTCCACACCGTTGTTCAGTGCTTGCGGGTCCGCAGGTCGACTGTAACATCCACGGCTGCACTTGCCCAGTTATTAGGTCACAAGTCACGGACTCTTCAAACATGGATCTTCAGACATGAGTCTCCAGACTTGACTCTTCAGACTTTAGTCTCCATGCCAGATTTGAGTCTTCAGACCTGAGTCTTCAGACCTTAAGTCTGTACTTGACTGAAAAACGCAGCAATATTATTGAAACTCCGAACGCAGAATGTCGCGAAGGCTTCTCCCAAGACAAATGGGACATTTGCTTCATAATAACTAGTTATAGCACATGGTTACTATTATAGCAATGGGATTGCATGTACATGTCAGTCATTGACCGAGCATAACCGGGCAAGCTTGAAGTTTGTCGCCCAGCCCAGCCCAAGTTATGAGAACTTCGATGACATACGTGTACCCTACTGACCGACAATAACCGGGCAACATTTGGATCGGTCGTGACAGAAGGCAGACTTGAACAAAGGTTTGAATACCTCCAGGCGGATAACTGTCTTCAATGGGTTTAATGAAGTGAGAAATATCGACCTACCAGGCGTTTTTAACAGACAACGCATATAGAGACTCAAGTGGGTTCAACTGTCATAATTCCCACAAATTATGGTATTAAGAGTGTATATCTTACGTCTTACACATGTACACCTGATGGGAACAGGTGGACATTCAACAATAGAATTCTCTCTCATAGCAGTGCCATAAGATATCGATCTAGAATGGCGATTCCTACATTCAATGTGGTTCTGAGTACCTGAATATTTGCTACCTACATAACTTCAACATTTGGTAGCACATCTACTCTAACAAAAGACATGATATCGTCAACTTATGCAGAATGCAGATAGGTTTGATATGTCGCTTCAATCCAAAGTTCAGGTACGTGCCTACGTCATAAGTTAGTTGAGTTCGTTGCCCGGGTGCAAATAGAGGGGTTGGGCAAAGCGTCACAACTTTCAGATCACAATCATACATAATGATCTCATCCACCGGATAAAAATATCTGCATATGATACAAAGAGATAAAACATCTACTCAGCACGGTTACAACGTCATTTCTTTATGTCCTCAATCAAGTCGTCCTTTACTCTCAACACTGATGTTGTCGCAGGCATTTACGAGTACATCCACCCTGCCTGCTTTAGTGTCATCAGTGCCAGTGGTTTGATTTTTTTTCATAAGTAAAGACAGCGCTTGACAAAGAAACTTTGTGGTACGTCTCCAAACTTCTGAAAATTGTGTAACTACAAAGTAGTTACACATTTTGCAAACTTTTTACACAAGTAAAAAGTTTGCAAACGAAGGATCACAAAGTATTTCCCACAGGTTTCTAATCGATATATATCCCTAGCCATTAATCGACTATATCCAATTACACCTACAACGAGGTCCTTCGGTAAAGAGTTACGTCTGAGACCTTGCAAACTGATGAAGACTTCTTCCTGGAACAGACGGCTTGTTTTTCACCAGTGAAGCCTCAGCGGGGTGGATAATCCCTCTCCTACAGTGGACGGACGTGTCCATGAAAGTCTCCATGTCTGATGTTTCAGCAATGGGCGTTTTGTTATGCACCGCGGCCTGGAGGGAAACCCGCAGTCTGCCACACAGCCTTATTTAACACCGTGCTGATTATCAGAGTGTGGAGATACATGTACTGCCGGGGAGAAGTAATTACACCAGTAAAGACTTGTATGGTACTATTTTAAACTGAAAGCATCAGCATTGACTCAAGGACTCACGGAGGATAATGATATTTTTTATTACAAACCCGAGGGGTAATTACAAGTTGTATAAAAAGTACGTTCGTTTTCCTGTAGATATGTAGAAGTTCGGGTATAGTTCGGCGGCTTTATTAAATAACTCACCGCTTTCACGATCCGTGTAAACTGTGTTTCAGCCTTCAGTATATGCATGATGCGTTTGTGCGGATTCTTTTGCAGCCTTTTTGTCATACATTTTGTCACACTTTTCTCGATCCCATTGTATTCCGTTTTGCTATCACATGTCGGACTGGAATTGTAGTTTAATTTGCCCTTCCTTTAGTACTAGAAGCGCGAACTTATTGTAATCTGGAATTCGAAGCTTTTAAGTGATTCTTTGTCCGCAAAACGTAGCTGTCACATGTTTAGCTCGATCGTTTGACGTCGACAACGACGTCGTGACTAAAAGCGTCACCTAGCGTCCTTACCTAAAGTACACCATATTTCACTCGGCTGAACATGGCTTCTAATACGGGAGATACTTTTTCACATTGGGCTAAGGGTAGGGGTCGAGAACGAGGCGGAGGTCACTGGAGGTCACCGGAAGTGACGCGTAGGGGTGGACTGCTACTCATATGCTGCAGCAATACCTCAGTTTCGGTAGTATGGGGAGGGCTACCTGCGTCGTTCCCTCGATTTACGTGCAAAAACGTCAACTTTTACGTCTATATTCACTGCATTTTGTTTGGCTCTTACCTCTGGGGACAAGGAAAAGCACAGTTCAGATCATATTTGAAGGGATTTAAGCTCTGGGGACCAGGTAACACTCCATATAACGTTACATGTAGGTAATGGAGACCAAATTGGTTATCAACGTTATATTTTGTGTGGCTCTTACATCTGGGCTCTTTTTTTAGCTCTGGGACTAGGAAAGGCAGCTAATACAGGAAACATTTGCACCGTACAAGTAAT